GAATGGCTTATTGCTAAAAGACAAGAAAACTTGAGATTCTTGAAACTAGACTAGAAGCAAGAAAAGAATTGACAAGAGTGGAGAAGACTTCATTCTTGCCTCTATGTATACTATCTAATTAGGAGCTACGTGGCGATGTTCTATAGGACCTCTAATATGTGTTGACTTTGCATGACACATGCCTTAGCTTATATGACAAGTTTTCTACATGTAGGCCACATAGTTAGCTTATTCTTCAAGCTATTAACATGTGTGGCACATGGCCAACTTGTTGACCATGTTCCTAACCTAAAAAATCAATTAAAGATATCTATAAAATCAAAACAATGTCTATGAAGCTTCTAGAAAGCTTGTATAGAAGATATTATGGAATTGACATACTTTTACCTATTATTATCTAAATCACATAAGTAATTATTAGTTTACATGTGTATGTCCATGACATCTGGTCTATATCCTCCCTTTTTTCTAACTCTTCAAGACCTAGAGGTGTTCTAATAGGTTTCTTGTATTTTCCATAGACAATCTTCCATAAATTCTTATCAATGAGGACAATTAATTTTTTTCCTTCCACAAGTATCAATTGTCTCCATCAAATTTCTCTATAATGTGATATTCCATTGCCATCTTATAAGAAATATGTTCTAAATAGAAGAAATTGGAAAAATGGAAGAAGAAATAGAAGGTGAATAGAAATAAGATCTAGATAAGATTTCACACTTACTTATAGACTTTTTGAATATTAATAAAAAAAATCTTAAAGAATTCCTAAAAAAAATTAAATATTTTTAAAATGCGTGAAATTATATCACTAGCATTCTCATAAAAATCTAATCCAAAATTCCAAAAATTATAATTTTGAGAGCTTTCTTTGTATAACTAAGTCTAAAAACTTTAAAATAAAATAAAATCAAATCAAATCAAATTTAGAGCTTCTTGGTCTTAGTAGAGTTCCTTAGATTGTATTAGCTTTGTTCCCATTACCAAGTCCTACTGGTATTGGTGGATCCTACTATTGGTGTGATCAGATCAACAACTGTAAGCTCAGTACCTATTGCTTCTAGCAGTGAAATTTGAAAATGTTCTTTCTCCTTCAAAATTAATGCCTCGTTGCTTCATTTATGAGTTATCAAAAACATTAGTGGCTTGAGTTCTAGGCTCACTAGAAGTTCAACTCTTCTCAAGCTAATGCAAAAAATAAAACCTCTTCAAAATTGATCAAAAGATTAAGTCTTATAAAACAACCTCAACTGATTCACTTAAATCCATCAAAGAGTAAATCTAGAGTACCAAGGCTTTGATACCATGTGAGAAAATAAAGAGGAAGTGTATTGTTAAGATAGAAGTTTTATGAAGCAAATACAAAAGAGTTTTCTACCTTACTATCAAGGATTCAAGAGAACAAATGCTTAAAATGAACCTCTACTTCTACTTCTTATATAGCAAAAGTCCATAGTCTAACCACATGGACTTTTTAGTGTAAACATACAAACAACTAGCCTAGTCAACAATGTCCAATTAACATGTGGACACTCGTTTTGTTAGGCCATGTGACGACTTAGTAGGCTACGGTGGCTAAATGGTATTACCACCAACAAATAGTAGCTACAACTTGTCAACTAGCAAAGTGGTGTCAACTACACATTCTACTTTATTTTGAATAGGGGTTACACACTCTATAAACAAGACATATGGATGTCTTTTTGGCATTGCAAGTGAGCTTACAATGCACTTCTATATGTAGTGGAAAGCTTGCCTCTAAAAATTATAATGGAGATATAATAAAAAATTGAAAAACAAATTCTGCTTTAAATTAGTGATCCAAAAAAAAAAAAAAAAAAAAAAATACATTAGAAGTTGAACGACCATCTATTCCACAATCAAATGTGACAAGAAATATTGCAAATATTTGTTTGTGTTAAGAAAAACATGCCAATGATATAAGTAGTTTGTTAAAAAAATTGCTAAGCTAAGAAATAGATATTTTAGACTCATATGTCTTACATGGAACACAAGAATCTATATTTGATTGTTATTTTCAACAAATCGTAACATCAATGTTGTCATATACCACAATAAATTAGTAACGGTTATGTTTTAAATTGAATTATTGAAAAACAAGTATTTTTTTTATAAATTGTGTGCATATGACAATAACCTCCTTAAAGGTCAACAATTAAACATCTCTATTAGGAACAAAAAGGTACTCCCAAGGCATAACCTTTACAAAAAATTGACTGTACCCTGGTGTGTTACAGCCTATATTTACCAATTTCAAAGCCAAAAACCTGGGTGGATCTACTTCTGGCCTAACCTAAAAACAAACCAAGCACACACACGTAGTTGGAGGCTGACTGGGAGTTTCATCCACGTGTGCATCCCACTCTTCAGCTTGGTCGCAGGTCGTTCGCCGGGCATGAAGGACTGAGAACGAGCTGGAAACATGCTCAAGCCCATGTCCGGGTTCATTCCAACTGGAGGCACGACAATCTCCGCTTCTTCCAAAGTGGGTGTTTTTGTATGATGGTCGCGGCTTTAACACCCTCGCCACACTGGAACCAGGTCGAGTGTTCCGACAGAGCAATTCCGGGACAAAATTTGCCACATTTGGAGTTGTGTCGGAGGGGGACGGTCAAACCCTAACGTATGGTATTGTCACCATATTGCTTCGCCGTGGTGCTCAGTGAAGGGGATAACGGGAGGGGGGTAGGTCACGCGCGGTCGTCGCGATTGGGGAAGGAAGGGGAGGCCGGCAACGTAGATGGTTGAGGAGGAAGGAACGGGAGGAGGTGTACTGGACGGGGAGCGGTCCGTTGAGGTCCAGGTTCAGGTTTGCGCGAGGAGGAATTTGGATACATTTGGTTTTGAGGCAACAGGGGGAGCAGGACAGGGAGATTGGAAGTAGGTAGCCATGCCCTATGTCCCTCCACATCTGAGGGCGGGAGCCGCCTCAGCAGGAGCAGCACCGGCGAGCGGTGGCGCAGCACGCAGAGACGGAGGAGGTCGGGACTCGTATGGCGGCAGCTTTGGAGCGAGCGCGGGTGCCAGGAGGTCATCGTCGGAGGTTTCGTTCGGCAACGGGGGCAGCAGCTACGGAAACGGGTATGGGCAGGGGAGTCGGGAGAGCAGCGGTGGGAGCAAGGAGGGGAGCGGAGGAGTGCGAGGAGCGGGGCATCCCGAGGTGGTGTGGGCGACATGGCAGCCTTCGGAGCGCGTGCAGAAGCTGCAGCCAGAGCAGATTGCGGAGGTGAGGGCCAGGCTGAATGTGGACGTGGAGATTGCGACCGGCTCGGAGCCGGCGCCGGCTCCCATCGAGTCGTTCGAGGACATGTGCCTGCATTTGAGCATCATGAAGGACGTGACGTTCCACAATTATACGACGCCGACGCCCATCCAGGCGCAGGCTCTGCCGGTGGCATTGTCGGGGAGGGACTTGCTGGGGTGCGCGGAGACGGGGTCGGGGAAGACGGCCGCGTTCTCGCTCCCCATGATCCAGCATTGCCTGGCGCAGCCCCCGATCCGCAGAGGGGACGGCCCGCTGGCGCTGGTGTTGGCGCCCACGAGGGAGCTGGCGCAGCAGATTGAGAAGGAGGTGAAGGCGTTCTGCCGGTCGGCGGAGGGGTTCAGGACGGCGATCGTGGTGGGAGGGACCAACATTTACGAGCAGAGGTCGGAGCTGCGGGCCGGCGTGGAGATAGTGGTGGCCACCCCCGGCAGATTCATCGACCACTTGCAGCAAGGGAACAGTTCGCTGTCGAGGGTGTCGTACGTCGTGCTGGACGAGGCGGACAGGATGCTGGACATGGGTTTCGAGCCTCAGATCAGGGAGGTGATGAGAAGCCTTCCGAAGAAGCACCAAACGCTACTGTTCAGTGCAACCATGCCGGAGGAGATCGAGGCCTTGGCTCAGGAGTACCTGGACAACCCGATCCGGGTGAAGGTGGGTCGGGTGAGCAGCCCGACGGCGAACGTGACGCAGAACCTGGAGAAGATCACGGAGAAGGAGAAGATCGAAAGCTTGCTGGCTCTGCTGGTGGACGAGCACTCGCAGTCGCTGGACACCAATCAACCACCGCCTTTGACGATCGTATTCGTGGAGCGGAAGGCACGCTGCGACGAGGTGACGGACGCTTTGGTGGAGCAAGGGCTGAAGGCGACGGCGCTGCATGGGGGGAGGAGCCAGAGCGAGAGAGAGGCAGCACTGAGGGATTTCAGGAAGGGCACCACGAACATTCTGGTGGCGACGGATGTTGCATCGCGAGGGTTGGACGTGACAGGTAAATGGGTTGGTGTTGTTGTTGTTGTTGAGATGTGGAGTGGGTCGAGAGCAACGTTAGTTCGCGGTGGTCAGAGGATGGTGTTCCTGGGCATGCCAGTGAAGAGTGGGTGGAATTTCGCGGAGAGGGGGTGCAAGTGCAGAATAGGATAGGGGCCAGCAGCAGTCGGATTTGGTGGGGCGGCCATGAGCGAGGAGTTTCGAAGTTAGGGTTGTTGTGGTTTGCACGGTCTGGTGTCGGACTAGTTGTGAGCACGGATGTCGTGGCGGGGGTGCAGTCTTGTGTGTATGTGTCTGGATGCCGTGGTCGTTTGGTCCGCATTTTCGCATGGTGAGATTTTTGTTGGACTGGGTGGGCAACCTGCACTGGAGCAGAATTGGTGCGGACGTTGGCGGATGTAAGGCACGGGTTTGTGCGCGCTGTAACGAATGTGGGAAACCTGGGTGGCAGGTGTGGCGCACGTGATCAACTTGGACCTGCCGAAGACCATGGAGGATTACGTTCACCGGATTGGGAGAACAGGTCGTGCAGGGGCTTCGGGACGAGCAACGTCGTTTTACACGGAGCGAGACATGTTCCTGGTAGCCCAAATCCGAAGGGCAATCACGGAGGCGGAATCCGGGAACGCCATGGCGTTCGCGACGGGCAAAGCCGCGAGGAGGAAAGAGAGGGAGCAAGCAGCGGCGTTCAGGGAGGGGAGGGTGGCTCCTTTGGGAGTAGCCCAAATCGGTGCAACGACGGTTCGTGTGGACGACAAGTACAAGCACATGCTTTCTGCCGCGGCGGATCCGAAGAAGGGCGAAGGTGCAGCAGACGACGCATGGGAGGACTAGTGACATGACTTGGCGATGCAGGCGGTTGCTGTTGGCGCAGGCATTGCCGGGGATCAGGAAGGTCGTCGGGAGTTTCTTTTTATTTTTATTTTTATTGTTTCATTATTTCTTTTCAAAGAGAAATAGTTGTAAATTTTGCGGGATTTGATATTCAGCTTTCACATCGAGATCTGAAAGCAAGCGGGCGTCGTTCCCGCGATCGTTTCAGCAGCCGAAGTGTGAGGGGACTTGAGCGGAATGTGCTGTAGCTGACACGGGACTGAAAGTAAGCAAACTACAGCCCCGAGGGAGTGAGAAATGAATGAACAAGCGTCATCGCACGCGATCGACGATGTGGTGCTCTTTTCTGTGAACCAAGGTTTTTGAGCAGCACGGACGTCGTTTCCTGGAAGGATGTTGTGTGTTTTGTTTACAATGCTTGGAGCTTTTCGGGGTGTTTAGTGGCGGGGTGAGTAGAAAGGGAGCGTCCGTCCGCATAATGGAGTGGGACGTTTCGCCGGAAGTCGAGCGTGTTGGTGGTGGTCTGGGTCAAGTGGTGATGTGCGGTTTGGCTTGGGTTGTATTCGGGAGGCTTCAATGGAGGTGTATGTGTGTTCAGAAGGTTCATCGGTGTGGTTCATTTCGGGGGGTTGGGACGTGAATGGAAGCCTGGTTCTGGTGCATTTGAGATAGGTCAACGTGGACTGTGGATGGGGCGGCGCTGGGAACGCGTGGTTGCGAAGCGCAGAGCGGGGAGGAAGTGGTGTTGTATGGTGGCTGTGGTGTGGAGTCCAAGTTTTACAGGTGCTCCGTTGGAGTGTGGTCTGTACGGATGGGCATGGGAGCAGCGTGTTGCCATACATGGAGATTGGGAGGAATGTATCAATAGTCGGGATCTCGGGTGAGGAGGTGGACTGGTGGATGGGTGATTGTCACGAGTGGACGGATGGGATCTGACATTTAGGGGTTGGAATACCTGAGTGTGGTATCCTTGGACGAGTTCATGTTGGAGGCGTTGGAAGTAGTGGTCACCATTTCAGGTTGATGGCGGCAGTTAGTTTTCTGAAATGGTCTTAGGATCAGTTATTTGTGGGATCCGGCTCATGGTTCATTGGTGACTACGCTCTTAAGTGGCAGTCGCATTCAACTTTGTACTGTCTTGTTTAGGTGCATGCTCGCATCACGTGTGAGTATGCGTATGATGTGTTATTTTACCGGAATACCTTGATTATGTTTCTCGGATTTTAACAACCCCGTCACCAGGAGCTGGACGCGTGCCAGCACTTACGCCAGTTCTCCAACTGCCGCTGGCTATGTTCTCTTCGCAATTCCTGGTTTTTGGAGTCAAACTGAAGTTAGCCTCTGCCTTAATATCATAGAAGGGACCGAGTTGGTCAACGGTTACGTAGGTGAACGCAAGTTGTTCTGTTTTGTCAGGCATTGTGCAGAAACCAGTTGGCAGACGAACGAAATCACCGACAGGAGGGTCCATGCTAACTTTTGCATTGCCGAGTATCGAACCTAATGGACTTTGTATCAAAGTACGTAGAGACATGTTGCTTTTGGCACCCAGTGGCGTGAACTCTGATCTGTTTTAGTTTCAATTATTTAAAAGCCGGGGCATAACGATGTGATGGATTAGATTCTTATTCTGGGACATGTCATACTCGTGTGTGCATACAGTCAACGGACTTAGAGCCTCATATCCCTAACATCATTGTAAAAATCTAAATTTATATCCGCAATGAGCAGCAGAAAGGACCATAAATGGAATTCGACGTGAGCCTCTCCCATGACTAGTGATCAAAAATCAAAATGTGGCACTAGATTATATCAAAGCTTGCACTGCTCTTTTTTTCAGTGAGAAAAGATAAAGCTATTGGGAGCAAGATTGTGGGTTTCTAGAGGTACAATGATCATGATAGACGATTCTATTACTACGAGCAAGGGTCAGGTTCTCATGTTGGCCATAAGTCCTCTAGCACCAGACCCCTCTTGGTCCTCGAGTATGAAGCAATTGAGATGCTCTAAATCGAGTAAAAAGTAGATATCATGACTTGGTTACCATGCCCTTCTTAGCCCATTCCACGTAATTATCCAAAAGCAAAGGCCATGCTTGACTTTCGTCGTAGTTTCTGAGGTCGGGCTTAATCTGCTCATAAAAAGCGTTGAGGAGAAATGATCAAGATAAGTAGCGCAGAGCATACAAAACATCATAGATCTGATTTCGTGCACACTAATGGGCTTATATTCTCAATTTTCATACCTCATCACAGAATCGAAGGAAAGCAGACCACTGATCCAAGTTCATAGCCTTGTATTCAGATTGTTCCTGGATGCATTCGTAGCAAATATGAGTTCAGAAACAATGATATATTCACAATAAACAGAGAAAACTCAGAGGTAATGTAATAATAGACATGCAATTAACCTTTTCGTTATTTCAAAGATACACCACACTTCCTCTCCATAACTAGTGCTTTCAGAAATATGTCCTCAGTGATAACCCTGTCAACTCAGTCATACCCAGTCAATCACATTACGTACCTGCAAAAACCGAAGAAAAGATGCCACATGTGGCCGAGAACCCAATACCAAACTCAACATCTGACAAGCCGTTTCCAAATCCAATGTTTTCTGACGAGGTTCTGTAGAGAGATCGAATGAAACAATTTAGAAGAAGACGCAAGGCATCAATCCTTGCTCATGATGAGAATGTTGTCAGTGTTCTTGATTGTGAGGGCTGTTTACACCACCCCAGGAAATTCGCACAAGCCAGCAGTTAAAAACTCATTGTCAACATTCCATCGATTGCTGAACATTGGAATTCACATAATGAGTTCGAGATTTTAAGCAGAAAAGATTATTTCCGAAGTATAAGTACTACAACAAAACATAGTGAATACTTTGTACACAAGAATTTACCTGTTAGGCAGTACTTGAAAGAAAACGTGTAGAAGTCTTTAAAATTATACGGACTCACCATCTGTAAACAGCCCTCACAATCAAGAACACTGACAACTTTCTTAGAAGCAAGTCCCGAAGAACGATAAATATCCGAACCGGCACGAAGACAGTCACAACACGGTTCTAAATCGTTTTAAAATTACGGCATGCTTTGTACTCGATATGTTACACAAACTTGAACAGCGAAAAGAATTATCTACATCCTGAAAAGTTCTGCACCTCTTGTTGCAGAGATGGAAGAGCTTTCCTCAGCTTGTCGAGACTATCTACTCGCATCGACTTCAATCCTTTCCTCCATTCTTCCTGTAGAGATACCATGAGTATGGCAGTAACTAATCTGCAAGTAAAATTTTATTTTCCAAGAAATACCTAGAAATGCACTCTTTGCACCTGGGGACATGCGGTAACAGCACCGAGTCTGCCTACTGAAGGTTATGCAACAGGTAGTAACATGTTTTTATTCTTACCATGAGAAATATCCCTGCCGAGCAGCCTGCAACTTCCTGCAATTACATTAAAAACGTCAGCTACTTGTAAAAAAAAATTAGGTCAAAGAATGCAACTTCCGCTTAGGAAAAGCACACAGTTCTCTAAAAGCATGAGTTTACAGACCATACAGTTACGACAAATTCAAATGAAAATAATTAGAAGTGCATACCATGCCAGAAGCAGAATTCGTACATCTGTAGGAGGAACTCCAAGGTCTTCACACAATGCTTCAATACCTTCAGGCCTACACAAGAATTTTATTATCCCCTGGTTCGACATGCTCATCCTATAGACATTGACCGCATATGCAATTAACAAATACGGCAATTCCAGAAGTCGGCTTAGTGATGACAATGTTGCAATAAGTACGAGGGAAGGCAGCAAAGTTTTTAAGAAAATCGATAAAGAGAAAATATGAAGTGCACGTGAAGACAGGAATAAACGCCCACTCACCCTATACAATGGTCTTCGGCCTTATCAGCATACTGATTGAAGAAACCATCAATTTTCTCTTGTTCTTTGGCAGTGGCTTTGTTTACTGTTGCTGCTCGAACACAAACATCACATGACATTTCCAACCAATTTTAGGCCACGAAAATAAAATTTGCTACCATGTCCCCTTTATTTAGTACAAAATGAGTCTGTTGAGAGCCCAGGAGAAGCTTTTACAAACAATTGTGACCTCGCAGTTTTTTTATTGTCAAATTTCACCTAAACATTCGGATCTTTACAACCGTTAGCCGTCTTCCTCTGAACGAAATTGCCAGGAATATATAACACTACAAGTCAAAGCTAGGCTATCCACCTCAAGTGGAAGGCCAGGGGTCACAGAATCTCGAAGTGTTAGTTACTTCAGATAATACATTCCAACAAGATCGAACTGCAAGGAACATAAAGTGAATTAAACACCTGCAGATTTAATGCGTAAGATATAAGTTAATGCAACTGGAATTCGAACCATGTGAATTGTTGGCCTCTACAAGTGATCGACGGTAACGACTTCTACGTGCCCTAATATAGATTGGTATACTTTAGTGAGGATCACTAGATGGCACAAATTGCACTTCATGAAAAACGACGCGCCATTCTCGTTACTACCAGCGTGTTCGGACAGCAGATTCGAACCAGAGAAACGAAAAAAAAAAACTTGATTTACGCTATACAGAGCTCACAAATGGAAGGAGCATCCAAGTGTCTCTACCAGTGCCTCGGCAAGACAGATCAACAATATTCAAGAACACCTTGCGGAAGTAAAACACATGAGAAGCAGCTTCGAAATTCAACGAATCGCGCATGGCAAAATCTTCACATGGCAGTCCAAGGAAGGGAAGGAAAAACTAAATAAAAAAATAAAATAAACAAGGAACAACTAGCCAGATGCGAAACTCCATCACGACTTCTAAGACTGAACACTGTAATATATCAGAGGCGACACCACCCACGATGCAAACGACCTAGAAACTAACTCATCAAATCCTATCCCCGAGTCGCATCCTCGTCATTACGTCGTCCTGTGCCATCAATTGTGCGCAGAGCTACACAATTCACAAAAAAATATTCAACTTTGTACTGTCTTGTTTAGGTGCATGCTCGCATCACGTGTGAGTATGCATTCAACTTTGTATTTTCTTGTTTAGGTGCATGCTTGCATCACGTGTGAGTATGCATATGATGTATTATTTTACAGGAATACCTTGATTATGTTTCTCGGATTTTAACAACTCTGTCATTAGTTGTACACGTGCAATTACTTATGTTAGTTCCCCAACTGTGGTTGGCTATGTTCTCGTCGCAATTCTTGGTTTCTTGAGTCAAATTGAATTTAGTCATTGCGTATATGAATCACAAGAATCTTGAGTACTTTATGTCTTGATTTATTTTAAATCGTCACCAAGTGCGTTGGAACATGTCTTTATCAAGATTTGATTTCAAGATCACATATTGATTCGAAAAATAGTAAGGTTTGTTAGACATCCTCTCTAGATGTTCTTCTCTTGCACCAAAAGAAGGAGATGCATCTTTTGATCAACAAAGAATAATTTTTTTGAAGCTAGAACATTTTTATCTTCGAGTAATGAAATCAACGTTGATTGTTAATTCAACCCTTGTGAAATAAATCCAATCAAGTATGTATTTTGATCTTTTTGTTCACAATATAAAAAAATTCTCTTCTAAGTCCCAGGATATTTCTAAATTTGAGTTCAAAAACAACCTACTCTATTTCAAAGGTCGATTATATATCCCAAAAGCAGAAGCTCAATTACATGTTCTTCAAGCACGTCACGACTTTCCAATCGTAGGACATTTTTGATACAACAAGACTTTACAGCTTATATTTAGAGATTTTTAGTGGATACAAATGTGAAAGGGTGTGAAAGACTTTTTTTAGTCATGTGATGTTTATTTAAGATCAAAAATTCCTCATCATCAACATTACGGACTTCTTCAACCATTACCTATTCTAAAACAACCATGGTCTTTTGTTTCTATGGATTTTATTATGGAATCTTTCAATCTCTGGTTTTTATGACTCTATATTCGTGATAGTAGATTGTTTTACTAAGATGGCACATTTTGTACCATGTACAAAATTTATTATAAGTGAAGAAACAACTAAATTCTTTCTTGATAACATTTATCGATATCATGGATTACTCAAAGATATTATATCACATAGTAGAATTCAGTTTGTATTAAGATTTTGGTGGACTTTTTTTAAGATTCTAAAAGTAGATATAAAACTATCTTTGGCATTCCATCTTCAAATTCATGGACAAACAAAGCGTGTTAATTAAGTTTTGGAGCAATATTTGAGATGTATCATCAACTACCAATAAGATGATTGGATAACTATTTCGCCATTAGTAGAGTTTGCTTATAATAACACAATACATTCTACTACAAAACAAATATTTTTTTTTGCTAATTATGGTTATCATCCATGACTTGATACTTTTGATTTTTCAAAAGCTAATAATCCTGTACCAGAAGATTTGAAAAATCATTTATCAGAGTTACATGCAACAATGAAGGTGTAGTTAAAAGAAGCTTAAGAACAACAAAAGATCAATGCGGATGTCTATCAAAAGGAACAATTACCATTCCACAGGAGTGACAAGATATAGTTACTTCATTGTAATATCAAGATCACTCATTTTTTGACAAGTTGGACTATCATAGACTTTGACCATTTCCTATATTTGCACAAATCAATCCAATTGTATATTGTTTACACCTACCAAAATCAATGAAAATCCATCTAATATTCTACGTGTCTCTTCTTGAACCATATAAGATAGTAGACATATCAAGAAGAAGACAAGCTCCACCTCCTTCTATAGAAGTCGACAATAATGAAGAATTTGAAGTGGAAGAAGTCCTAGATTAAAGGTGACACCAAAATAAATTGGAACATCTTGTCTATTTACACGGATATGATATTAGTGAATACACATGGGAGCTAATAAAAAATCTTGCAAATGTAGCAAAGGCGATAGAGGCTTTTCATCGATGTCATCTATCAAAATTAAGATGAAAACCTTCTTTATAAAAGAAACAAGATCTAGGCAAGATAACATTCTACTTTCAATCCTTGTTTGTAGCTTCTTTGTAGTTGTGATGCTAAGGAGATGGAGAACCAACAACTAGCAAATTTGACTAAAAAGCCTTTATTTGCTGACTTACTGGATGAGACATTATGATTCTCACAACCTTCAAGACGATGCAATCGAGATGAAGATCCTCAAGAATAACATATTTTTCCTTGAATAGATGGTAAGATACAATGCGTTTGATATCACGACTTTGGAAGAGACTCTTGATGTTTGATAATTTTATCAGAGGTAGGAACAATTCATGATGGTATTCCAAATATTTTATTTGAAGGAAGTTATGAAGGCTTCAATAGCAATCAGATAACATGATGGTCTTTCCACCCTGGTATGAGTCACTATTGATGGTTGAGAGGCCCTATCAACCATCTTCGAAGAGAACAAAGATTTGAGTATATTGCAAATACAATTCATCGCATCATAGATTTTCTCAAAATATGATGATCCCTCCTCGTAGAATTCATTCCTAGAAAGAAGGATAATGTCATGGACATATGCATGTAAGCCAATAATTATCTGTATAAATAAATAAAAGTAAGTAGAAGTAGATAAAAGCAAGTTAATTCTATAATATCTTCTATAAAAGCTTCCTAGAAGCTTCATAGATGCTACTTTGACTTTATAGGTGTCTTTAATTGACTTTTTGGATTAGAAACGTGGTTAACAAGTTGGCCATATACCACACATGTTGTTAGCTTGAAAACCAAATTAACTATGTAATCCACACATAAAAAGACTTGCCTTGTAAGTCAAGGCATGTATCATACAAAGTCAACACATATTAGAGGTCCTATAGAACATTGCCACATAGCCCCTAATTAAATAGTATATATAGAGACAAGAGTGAAGCCCGCTTCACTCTTGTCAATTCCTTTCTTCCTTCTAGTCTACTTTCAAGAATCTCAAGTTTTCTTGTCTTTTGGCAATAAGCCATTTCAGTTCTTTTTAATATATGTACTTCTTTATTTGTATTTTGTGACTCTTTTTTTGACATGGATTTCATTGGTTTATGCATCATCTTTTAATTCATGTCTTTGACACATGGTGATGAAGTCTAAGATGTAATAAATTATATTTGCAAGGTTGTTGATAAGTCTTTTTTTTTATTGATAGTATCTTATACTAAGGCATGAAGACCACCATGTAATATGAATATTGTTGAAATATTTATATCTTATTTCAAATAAATCATTTGAAATACCATCAAAGGTGACTTCTATGTAGATTGATTAATATCATATCTATACTATTGTATAGGATATTCCAACATATTTTGATTATTCTTTAAGTCTAAGACTTCTATTACTTCAAATTCTTGATTATTGTCTACTTCTAAAAGAAATAATATTTTTCTTCTTTTTGATATATTCATTGCCTTATATGATTCAAAAAAGTATACAATGAATACAATATAGATCTTCACAGACTTTAGTAGATGTAATTAATATACAACTAGGTTAATTTTTTCACAAATAGAAATAGTCTCAATCTTTAAATATTATACTTATTACAATGATAAATAGTCTTGATATTACAACATACTAATTATTCTTTGTTGTCAATGTAGAATTGATGTTGTTCTTTATAATATATATTTTCATTGATCTTTTATTATTATTCTTTTTTTTCTTTTTTTTTTTTAATGTATCTTTATTGTTGTATGTAACTTTGATTAATAATTTTTAAAATCTTTTACTATATGATTATTGATTATTAAGTCAAAAGCATCAAATTATGGATAATAATAATAATTAAAATAAAAAATATTTTTTGAATAGAAGAATATATTATATTATTATAAAAAATTCCATCAATGAAAAAAGAATTATTCAATCATTTTAATGGTAATTAATGGTACATTTCAAATATTGTTCTAAAATTTAATTCATCCATTTTTTTATCCATCAATTTAATGATGAAAAATCCAAAATAGTTTTATATCTACCTTCAATATTTTGAAAAGGATTCTCCAAAATCTTAATATAAGTTGGATTCATCTATCCATTATAATATTTTTGGTTTTTTAAGATAGTAATAAATAATATCAAAGAAAAATTATATTATTTTTTATTTTTTATGTGTGATGGTTTTTATATATAGAATATAATGTGTTATTTTGGTGAAATTTTCTACTATTACAAATATATAATCATAAAAACTTGAGATTATAAGATCTGTAATAAAATCCAAAGAAACAAAAGACCATGGTTGTGGTTCTTAGATACCTAGGTAGTGGTTGGAAAAGTCAATAAGATTGATCACAAGGAATTTTTTATCTTAAAAGAATATCACATGATTATACAAAGTTTTTAATTGTCTTCTTTATTTGAAACTAATAATAATCTTTGAAGATTAATTTTAAGGTCTTGTTATATTCAAAATGTCTTTTAGTTTAAAATTATGTACAACTTAAGAGCACATGATTGTATTTCACCTTTGCAAATATATGAATATTTTTTCATATACAATAGATTTTTTAAAAATTCAAACTTAGAATTATATAGAGATTGAAAAGAATTATTTTTAATATCATAAATAAGAAGATTTGAAGGCATATTTAATTAAACTTAATAAAAAAAAATTGGATCAGTAGCCAATGTTGATTTTAATTCTTAAAGATGAAATTACTTTACTTTTAAAAGAATATTTTATTATTATTAAAAAAAATAAATCTTCTTCTTTTAATAGAAGATAAAAATATTTACAAAGAAAATTTGATAAACCTTATTGTTTTCTTCACCAATAAGTAATATTAAATATAAATCTTCACAAGAACATGTCTCAATAGGATTGATAACAATTTAAAATTCATATTGACATAAATTATTCTAAGCTCCTATGATCTATATAAACAATCATTGGATTAGAAGTTCATTTCAAATAATAGCAATATTCTTTAAAAAAATTGACA